CAGTAGTACTTTCCATTGAGATTTTGATCTACCTACTACACTTATTTCCACAGGTACAAAAGACTATGCAGGGACATTTCTCCCTCCACCTCCTATTCTGGCTTGTCACTGCATGCCTGCATGTGTGTATGTGCACATCTTTCTCCACCGCCCCCCCCTCCCCCCACATGGAGTAGCCTGCTTTGGATGAGCTGTCTCTTCTGTTTTTTTGTTTTTGTTTTTGTTTTCAGATCTAAGGTAAATAATTACTTCATGACAAGTAGGGTTTTCAGTGTAAGCTTGTCTTGGTTTTCAGACCTTTAGCTTTTTTTGGGGGGGCGGGGGGAGGGTGTTGGGGGAAGTATTGCTAAGTGAAGGCTGTGTTGTGCAGTTGGTGAAGTAGCAAGCTGAGGTAAGGACCTTGGGTTCTAATGTAGTGGTTCTCAACCTAGCCAAACATTATACTCTCATGAGGAAGCTTTAAAGATAGCCTAATTCGATTGGCCTCTGGTAGGACCTGAGTACTGACAAAATTTAAAAGCCCCTCAGGTGACTTGGATGAAACAGAGTTGGACATTAGCTAAAGTTGTGGTTCTTAAACTTTAACAGGACCAGGATCAACTGCAGCAGTTCTCAACCTGTGGGTCGCCAACCTGTGGGTCGCAACCCCTTTGGGGGTCAAAGGACCCTTTCACAGGGGTCACCAAAGACCATCGGAAAACACATATATGATTACATATTGTTTTGTGATTAATCACTATGCTTTAATTATGTTCAATTTGTAACAATGAAAATACATCCTGCATATCAGATATTTACATTACGATTCATAACAGTAGCAAAATTACAGTTATGAAGTAGCAACGAAAATAATTTTATGGTTGGAGGTCACCACAACATGAGGAACTGTATTAAAGGGTCGAGGCATTAGGAAGGTTGAGAACCACTGAGCTAGAGGACTTGCTAAACCATAGACAGCATTCCCTTAATAGTGTATGCACTTTTGTCATAAAATATACCCATATTCCTTATGATTGAGCTTGAAATCCATTGAGATTTCAGACCTAGTCATATCAAACCAGGGAGAAAATTTCCTCATGGAATGAAATGAGCACATGTGCTCTGGCAATCGGAGCTGGTGAGCCAGACTGCCCAGAGTGGATTTAATTCCTACTTAAAATATATATATTAAAAAAATATTGATTTCAGAGAGGAAGGGAGAGGGAGAGAGGATAGAAACATCAATGATGAGAGAGACTCATTGATCAGCTGCCTCCTGCATGCTCCCTACTAGGTATTAAGCCGGCAACCCGGGAGCCTGCACCCCCAATGGAGGGTGGTCTGGCACTATGTGCCCTGACCACGGACTAGAACTGTGACCTCCTGGTTCATAGGTTGACGCTCAACCACTGAGCCACATGGGCCCGGGCCATGGAATCTACTCTTACAATGCAAATTTAAGAAGCGTAATGATAAAATCAGGCAATTAGATTTTAAGACTTGTAGCTTTAAACAGTTACATGCTGTTAGTATATGAGAAAAATATATATAACAGTGAAAGTAAGTCTTCTGAAAGTAATCTACAGTTTGCTGACTCTTCCAAAGCCCCGTGAACTAAAGCTTCTCAAGTGATGCACACTGTGCCTGCTGAGCAGTGATTCTGAGTTGGCTAATACCTTTCTGTGGTTCCCTCTTTCCAACGCATAGAACTATCTGGGTATTGGTTTTACCACCAGGTAGAATCCATCTCAACACACCTCAGAACACTGGCACTTCTGACGGCATTTTTATGTTGTCCTCAGTGAGGCCACTGAAATGACACTAAAACAAGAAGATAAGATCAGGAGGTAGAAGAGAAAAATGGACATTTTGAATGGCCACACAACCCTGGGGCAATAGATGGGATTAGTGCAGAGGTGAGGCTCAGGAGTGTTTCTGAATCCACTTTCTATGGAACCGTAGCTATCTGTGCTGCAGTGGAATATGTCCAGGACCCAGTACACATTTCAGTGGGCCTCAGGGGAATTCCACAGTGATCGTTAACTGTGTGCTGTACCTGGAACTTTGGGTCTGTTTTCAAGAAGTAGCCAGCAATGAAGCTAGGATAGCAGATGGAATGATGAGTTAGGAAAGACCTGTATGTTCATTTAGAGCAGGGGTCCTCAAACTACGGCCCGTGGGCCACATGCAAATGCAAATATTGTATTTGTTCCCGTTTTGTTTTGTTTTTTACTTCAAAATAAGATATGTGCAGTGTGCATAGGAATTTGTTCATAGTTTTTTTAAAAACTATAGTCCGGCCCTCCAACGGTCTCCGGGACAGTGAACTGGCCCCCTGTTTAAAAAGTTTGAGGACCCCTGATTTAGAGCTTTTGTGAATGTTTTTGAAGACCCATGAGTTACTTTCTCCTCTCTTCCCCTGATTTCCCCCGTCTCAAGTTATGAGCCAGGTTAGTCATCATTTAGACATTTTTAGGAGTAAGCATGATAGAATATAAACACATGTGGATAAATAATACAAGTAATATAAATCATTGATTGAGTACTTTAACTGTTGATGCTCAGCACTCTATGTGATTGTCTCCTGTCACCCTTCTGACCACTCAGGACTTCTGGCTTTGTTAGATGAGGACTGTGAGGCTGAGAGGTCAGGGAAGTAGCTCAAGGGCACACAGCTAGTTAGGTTAGGTGTTGGGCCTGGATCCCAATCGAGGGTGGTCTGGCACTAAAGCCATGCTCTTAATCACAGCACTGGATGGACATGACACACTGGTGGTGGTAGGAGCAATTGGTAGGCATGTACTTACTATATTATGTCAGTGGTTAACACAAGTCATCATCATTGTGAAGCTGTATGTAATGTGGATCAGTGCAAAGACCAACAGTCAAAGAAGGAAGATTTGGGATCTGATTTCAAATACATAGAAAATGTAAGTACAGATTGGTGCTAATCTGGCTTTGGGGAAATATTTAATCCTTTTTGAGTCTTGGTTTTCCTTTCTGTAAAATGAGGGTAATGATAAGCTCTATCTGAGTTTCAGGGTTGCTGTGAGGACCCAATGAGGTGATAGTCATGGTTTGAAAACCATGGAATGTTCTGTACGCAATAGGTATCATGCCTTATAAGTGTAGTCACTGTGTGGATTTTCTCCCGTGTCCGAGGCTCTGGGAGTTACAAAGGGAGCGCTTTGCTCCTTTCTCTCAGAGGCGCATGGTCCTGGTGGTGAGCCCTGAGTGTGCATTTTGGGATCAGCAAGGAGAAGAACGCTGTGGGAATTTAGGGCAGGAGAAACCCACTCTGAAAGAGCACTGTGCAGGGAAGGCTTTATGACATAGTGAATTAATTACATTTTAAAGGATGTGGTATTCAGAGGGAGCAAGGATAGTTCACTTTGTGGAAACTTTCCTTTGCTTTTAAAAGGAAAACCAACCGCCGAAACCGGTTTGGCTCGGTGGATAGATAAAATATATTTAAAAAAAAAATAAAAATAAAAGGAAAACCAACCAAGTGCCTAGGGTCACCATATGTCTTTTAACAAATGTTCCTTATGGACTGTCTTGCGATGTGGAACTCGGACGGAATTTCTCTGCTCTTAAAAGACGAGGGTGGAGGCATTTTTATGCTGTCCCCTCCCCTCCCATTAGTGTTCATTCTCTTCACCTTCCTCAGAACATGGACCTGCAGGGGGAAATCTTCTCCGGCAGCCTTCGGTCAGCATTATCATCAGCCTTAGGTTGGTTAGCAGGCTATCTCCCCCTTCTTCATTGAACAGTAAAGAACACTACCTACTTCAGGATTTTAAAAGATCACAAATTCTTATGGATAAAAATAGCACTGGTGGTTACAAGTGCTCAGCTGAAATTAAAAGAGTTATCGGTCTTGCTTTGGGAAAGAAGGTGACCAACCACTGATTTCCAAAGAGTACCTCTCCCATCCCAGTGATTAGTTAATAAAATTATTCCCAACAGTGGTGGGCAAAGGAACTCAGGCAGTTACCACTTAGAGACAGAGAACCCATTGTCCAAAGATCTCAGAAGAGTCTTTGCAAACACACAGAAGGGATTTAGAACAATTTGCATAAATCTCCCTGTGGATAGCGCCATGGCTCCAGTATTGGGGCGGTTCCAGGAACCCCTCTTGGCTCTATCATGGGGTGACGCTGTGCTTGGTGAGAATTCAGTCTCATGGCGGTTTTGCCAGCAGGACTGGGTGATGGGACGCTGAATAAGCCCACTGTTTGGTTCCACATAAGGACTCTTTTGTGTTGGCCTGGGGCAGCCATGCGCAAGTTTGTCTTGCTTTTTCCCCAGTGATGTTTTTGGACTTTGTGGGCTGGAGAATTAAGCACAACACCTATTCTGAGCTAATCTGACACATTTTGCTCTTGAAAGGTAACCGTAGCCCCTTGTATTTCCAGAATGTGGAGAATAATAGCCGTACCTTTGGAGACCTTTGTCTTCTTAAATTAAAAGTCGGGGAGAGGAGGAGACTTGGCTTGGCATGCCCAGGTAGCTGGGGCCTTTCCACCTGCTCAGGCTGGCACTATGGGAAGTAACCCCCTTCTGCTTAATATGATTTGCCTTGTTCACTAACTTCTTTAAGAACTATCTTCTCTTGCAGAGTTAACAAACGGGTTGTACTTTAATATTAACTATTCCCCTATGAAAGGGTTGGGATCACTCTAGAGTATAGTTTTAAAATGCCAGATGACTAAAAATCTGTTTCAACTTTTCTATCTTTTTTCTTCTTCTTTTTGAGCAAAACAAACAAAAGAAAAAGGTATGCATTAAACACTACATATTTGGAGCTTTACCGGTTGCTTGGCCAGAATGTTAGCATTTATGAAGCCACATAGGGAGTCTAATTTAAAATTCAGGAAGTAGGTTTTGTACTGGGGAATTTACTGTTTAAGTACAAAAATGAAATCCTCTAATTTTTGACCTGGAGTTTATTTCTTTCAGTTGCTAGCTTGATTTCTCAGTTTTGTTCTAATAATACAAACGTCTTTATGTTTACTTGTAGGTGGCTTTAACCAAGAGAGCGGATCCCGCTGAACTTAGAACAATATTTTTGAAGGTCAGTATAAAGGAATCTATTTTGTTTCTTGGTCGATCTGTGTTCTATAACTTTTAAAGATTATTTTTAAGCAGATCTTTATTTTATTGTTGTAGTTCTTAAAAATCCCCCAACGTATCATTACTTAAAACTCATAAAAGAGGTCCTTAACAATTATACCTATTTTTTTTAAAAATGTATCAGAAACTTGCTGTTATTTGTTTGTGATATGTTTACATTTTCATTCCTCTTATCTCACATGGTGTCAGGTATTGAAAAGGAGTTCCAGGTATTGAAAAGGAGTTCCTGGGGGATTTAGTCTCCCAACCCATTTACCTTTCCAGGGTTGACTTGTGTGGTTTAATGGTAATGCTTTTCCTCCTAAGCAGTTTAAAGCTCTTTGTAAACATTTCAGTAATCCTTCTTTCACCCAGAAGCTCGTCATCATCATTGTCGTCATCATCATCATTTTATTACAACTGTGCTGCCTGGTGCGGAGGCCGCCGTATGAGTAATACTAGCTGTGAAATCACAACAGACACCATGCAAGTTTATGTCCTTAGTTTCTTCCAGTTTTGCCTACTTTGCCATATTGCACAGTGAATGATTAATCCTCTAATAAAAGTCTACCTCAGATCCCAAACACTGAACCACTTTTAATGTTATTCAACTGGAATCAAAGTACTCAAAAAAAGAAAAGGCCACTTTTATAAAGATAATTTTAAAAGTATTTATGTAGCCTTCTTCTACACATACCAAAGGTAACTGTGCTGTATATAAAGAGGACCCAGGCTTTGAATGAGAAACTTGATAGTCTGCTGTGTACTGAGAATATATGTCTTTAAAAGTTAATAATTTTATATGCATCACTTTCTTCATCAATATGCACTACCATTAAACAAATTGAAAAATCAGGGAATTTAAACACTGACAGGATTATTCGATATTGAGTGTTTGTTATTTTTGATGTTTAGGCTGGATAATGATATTCAGATTATGGGAACCATAAAGAATCTTTTTCTCTTATAGAAACACACTAAAGTATTTACAGAGATTATGAGACTATGATATCTGAGATTTGCTTTTAAATAATCCAGTTTTGGTGGGGTAGGGAAAAATGAGCAGGCAGTATGATGATAATTTTTGAAATTGGGAAATGCAGTATTATTCTCTCTACTTTGTGTGTGTTTGAACATTTTCATAATAAGTTACAAAAATTGTAAAGAATCAATGAAAAAAACTTTATGAAAGTGCCCAGCACCTGATTTGCTTTAGATATTGATTCAGTAAATGTTTACAATTAAATAATTCAAACACAGAGAGACAAAGTCTCCAAAGGAAAATGATTAAAAATATGAGCAGTTTTGGAGGAGAGGGGGAAAAAAGGATATATTTATAGGGAGGCTTGGATTATATATAAGAAAGCAGAAATCTTTTATATAAATTTGTTATTGGCCCAAAAGGACAATACAATATTGAGATTCTAAGGGGGAAAATGATTCTGGATACTGACAGTCCAGGAAGCAGAAATGCTTCATCTCTTACCTTGACCAGTGTCTGTTGCTATGCATTTTGGGCCCACTATGATTGGGATCAGGTGTATATGAGGGATCCTCAGATATTTGTAGTATGTGTATTTAAGGTCTTTATTGAAAAACTCTAATGATGTCATTCTGGAAGACCACTTGCAGAAGAGCATGTGAGTGGGTTGCCAAAGAGCCTAGAGAAAAGAGTAAAGTTCATTACCTTGAGCTGACAAAGTCCTAATACCTGTCTTTGAACCCAAGACTTGTCTGTTATGTATTTCTGTTTTCTAAACCAGCCGTAGTCGCAGGCATCCTTCTGACAGGAAAAGGTAAAAGCTTTCAGAATGTCTCAGCAGATGGTGCATCTAGATATACTCACTAGTCTTTTTTTTTTTTTTTTAATATACCTTACTGATTTTTTACAGAGAGGATGGGAGAGGGATAGAGAGGTAGAAACATCGATGAGAGAGAAACATCGATCAGCTGCCTCCTGCATACCCCCTACTGGGGCTGTACCCGCAACCAAGGTACAGGAATAGAACCTGGGACCCTTCATTCCGCAGGCTGACGCTCTATCCACTGAGCCAAATCGGTCAGGGCCTCACGAGTCTTTTGACGTAATCAGTGGAAAGGCTCCAGGTAAAAGCGGTGTCCACCTTTTGAGCCCGTGTGGCAGGTTAAGGTCCTACTTTGGAACAATATGTCCTTTCCAGATGTGGTTTCTCAATAGCAGGAAAGTCTATATTAGAAACAAATCAGATTGGTCAAGTAGACCCTGGGAAGGGTAGGAATTCCATGTGGGGTTTTGGAGTGTCAGCTGTGGGGTTTCTGGATAAGTGGGCCTGTGGGCTGGGGTGGAATCTATGGGACCAAATAGGGACGTGTTGTCTGTCCTCCCTGGAGGGTGGCTAGGACTACCTGGCTATTGAGCGAGAGTCCAGTATGACTTCGAGTCCGGGGGGATGATGTGGGGAGAACCGTCCCTGAAGAAAACAGTGGTCAGCAGTTTCTGGAAGGGATTGTGGATCTGGCAAAGGTTCGGGTGACCTCATCAGGCCTGGATAGTGTGGTACCAATGCAAATCCTTGGCTCAGCATGCTGAGGATCTCTTGTTTACCATCCACCCCAGACGCAGACAGTGTTGTGGTGGAGGAAGAATAGGAGCGAGGCGCCCTGGGGACTGTGCCAGGCACGTCTCTGCTGTGGCTGGCTTTTATAGTTAATTATGGATCAGCCATAAGCATTCTGTAAACCTGGCTACTTAGCGGATTTTCTGACTTTTTCCTGACTTTTTTTTCTAATAAATATCCCAGCCTTCTCTCTGTTAACCAGGGTAGAGGATTCTTCTGTAGCTTGGGGCATGTGAAGAGAAGCATCATTGTACCCTTGGACCAGCGGTGCTGGTACCAGAGGTACTGGTAGCAGGTAGCTGTGGAGATGAGAGAGCCAATGGAACCGAGACAGATAAGGAAAGGGGTCCTGGGGGACTAAAATGGGCTCAATACTGGCTTATTTTATGTTTTTGAGTTAAAATAATTTCTACTTTAGTTTTTTTTTCTTTTCTTTTTTTAAAGGTGTTTACTGTAAAGTAGTGTGAGGTATGGGATATATAAAAGTGTATAAATTATGGCTCCTGCACTTAACTATTTCACAGTGCAATAAAAAGATAAAGTGTAATAAAAAGATAAAGCCATTATATGGATGATGAGTATTATATAGCATTAATTAGCAGGAAGATGATAAGGGGCTAATTATGTCTCCCTAGAGAGAGTCATTGACGTTCTAGGGAGGTAATGGTGTTTGAGCTGCATTTGAAGATGAGTAGGTGTTTATTTATCAAACAGAGAAGGCAGAAGAGGGTTCTGGGGCAAAGGAAGAACATTCCAGGCAAAGGGAGAGCTTGTGTGATATAAGAGTACCAGGAGTGTGGGGTGGCCCGGAGCATAGGGTTTTGGGCAGTGATACTGGAATGGTAAGTAGGGCAGGACTTGGTGTAGGACATTTCTCCATAAGGCCTTTGAACTTCATTATGCAGGCTGTTCTCGAGGTAAGTGCTGGCTAGTGTTTTGTCTGGGTGTGGAAATTAAAGACTAGGTGTGGTCAGTTTTGCTTCTGACATGAATTTTTTTGTCTGCCTAACACTTTTGATGCTGATTCATGTTAATTTACACAGATATGTATTTGATACCATTGTAATTAACCTAGTTATTATTAATAATAGGAAAGGAGCAAAGGGGAGGCCAAATAGCACAGGCATGTCCGCCATGCAAATAAAAATCATTCTCCCATGCGAATCTCAGAAAATTATTATTTTTTTAAATATATTTTATTGATTTTTTACAGAGAGGAAGGGAGAGTTAGAAACATTGATGAGAGAGAAACATCGATCGGCTGCCTCCTGCACACCTCCTACTGGGGATGTGCCCGCAACCAAGGGACATGCCCTTAACCAGAATCACACCCTGGGACCTTTCAGCTCACAGGCTGATGCTCCTATCCACTGAGCCAAACCGGGTAGGGCAGAAAATTGTTTTCCTTAAGATATCATAAGGACCCCAGTAGGAGATATCTTAATCTCTAGCTCTATCCATCCATCCATCTTTCCGTCCATCCATATTTATTATGAGGAATTGGCTTAAGCCATCCATTATAGAGGCTGAGCAGTCCCATGATATCTGCAAGCTGGAAACCCAGGACAACTGGTGAGGTAATTTGTTCAGGTCTGAAGGCCTGAGAACCAAGGAAGCTGACGATGTAAATCTCAGTCTGAGGGCCAGGAAAGGTATGTCCCAGTTCAAGCAAGGCGGCAGGAAAAAAGGGAGCAAATTCTTCCCTCCTCCAGCTTTTGTTCTATCAGGCCTTCGGTGGGTTGGATGATGCCCGTCCAACCCTGGGGAAGGCAGTCCACTACTGAGTCCACAGATTCAGGCGCACGTCATCCAGAAACACTTTCATAGCCACACCCAGAATGTTTAATCTGGGCACCTGCTGGCCAGTCAGGTTGACACAAAATTAACCATCACATTTAGTATCATATTGAGTTGTGCAAGGAATCCTAAAAGCCTCCCTGTTTTATAAGTATACGTTTAATTGTATTAAAACGTCTCAAAATTGTTAAGGAGAGAGGCTCAGGTCACTTGTAAAAGCTATTCACTGTGCTCTCCTTTCTCTTTGTCTGCCAGTATGGTTTCTGTCACCCATCTGTCCCTGTTCTTTGTGTAGCTTGCTGTCCTCCCTCCTCCACATCCCTCAAATCACTGCTGTGTCTCCAGGACCAAGAGGCCCTTTCCTGCTCCATAGGAAAATACATAATGTCTAAGTCATTTCTCAGCATTTCCCACAGCACCAGAGGCTCCACAAAGCACGAATGAGCAGGTCCCAATTACATGAGCTGGAGTGTAACATACTAAAGGCCAGACCTGGGGAATGCTGTGAAAAACCATCACAGGCCACCTAATGCTTACTGACCATTTCTGCTCTAGAATGAAGAGGACTCTACTAGAGCAGCATTTCATACCCCCTTCCGTACAACCCCACAGGAAGCCATGCAGTTAACAGTCTCTTCCAGCTCAGCCTGTCTGTCATCCTTCCTTTGTTTGTTTTTTTACTTGGAGGGTACATTTTAAAGTGGGGGAAATGAAACAAGGAAGGGCTTAGCATAGAAGAAGCAACAGGAGAGAGCTAGGTGGGGCTGCTTTAGCTCACTGGAAAGTCAGAGAAAGTGGGGAAGTCAGACAGGTTCGGGGTGAGCCCAGACAAGCTGCTTCTGCCCATTGCTCCCCTGGTTGCAAGTCTCCTGGTTCCCTCAGAGGTTAGGAGATGCCTGCCTGAGGCTGGGGGGTGGAGGGCGGGGGAGGGAAGAAGAGGGGGAAGGGAGAGGTACGAGTGTGCGAGTGTGCTCCCTGGAGGGAGAGGGTGCCTTGTCACCTTTTCTTGCATCGTTGATGTCCTTGAAGCAGAAATGGGCAAAAGAATTAGATTATATTCATCTATGACTTCATAATTAATCCTACTTTTAATAAAAGCCCTATATCCTTGCTAAAGAACAAGGCATGGGTTGTAATCCATAGTTTCTCAACCTCAGCACTGTTGATATTGTGGGCTGGACACTGTTGTAGGGGGTCATCTTGTGTACTACTTCAGCAGAACCCCTGTCCTCTACCAGTGAGGTGCCAGTAGCATCCCTCTCCCCGAGTAATGACAATCAAAATTGTCATCAGACACTGCCAGATGTCCCCAGTGGGGGAAAATAGACAAGCAGAGGAAGCTCAGAGCTGGAGAATTCCACCCCCAGAAAGGCAGGTAACACGCAGACAGGGCTCCTCCTCGCTGGTTGTACTCAGCTACTGGGGGCCATTGACATTCACAAGCTGTCAATCAGGCTAAGCTGCCCCCGTGGAGAAGCACTGGTATAAGCATGAGCCTTGGCGTACTTATGTTTGTTTTTTCCTTGAAATGATGGAAAATAACTCTTTGTGAAGAGAATATTATCATATCTGATATCCTTTGAATATTTCAGCTTTTCCACATATTAATCTTGCGATTGTGTACTTTCGAGAATAAAATATCTCTTCTCTCTCTCTTTTTTTAAAAACAGTATGCAAGCATTGAGAAAAATGGTGAATTTTTCATGTCTCCTAATGACTTTGTCACTCGCTATTTGAACATTTTTGGAGAAAGCCAGCCTAATTCAAAGACTGTGGAACTTTTAAGCGGTGTGGTGGATCAAACCAAAGATGGGTATGTTTATTGCTTATTGTCTCATTTAATATTTTTGTTTGAAACAGCTTTCTGTTGCTTTAAAGATTAGGAAGTCTGCATACACTTCCCATCTCTTAAGAGCATTTTCTCTACCTATTACAAGTAATACATTATTTTAGAAATAATAACTTTAATATTTCCTCCAGCATTTGTATCACAGATGGGGATTTTGCATGTGTATTTTTTTTATACAGTTTAAAGAACTACTTACAGTTTCATGGTACTGTTGTAGTTGATAAGTGGTATGAAGATATTCCAGAGTGTTTGTATTTATGTTGGTATTTTTCAAAGGAACTGTAAAATTGTGAGCAAATATGAAACATAGCTCTAAGAATATAACTTTTCTCTAATATTTCCCTCTGCTCCAATAACTTTTAAATCTAACATGTGATTAAATGCTACTAGTAACAGACTGCATGATATGATTCCAAATCCCCATGAAAAACGTGCTAACCAAGCTGGAAGAGAAAGACCGAGCCATCTAAAATTCAGTCGGACACTTGGCAAAATGCCTTGGGATTGTTTTTCCCGCCAGCCTTCTCGGTTTACATTTTAAACAGGAGTCTTGCCTAAGCTGTCTAGGATTGCCGTCGGCTTTTATCACCAAGTGCAGAAGTTTGGACTCTGCACCCTTGCTGATACGAACACCAGTGTCCCCTCACAGCCACATAGAACCCCCAGGAACCAGCCTCTCTGTGTAGACTGTGGTGGGCTCCCAGCCTTCCGCTCTCGCTGCTTGCCAGCACCTACCCCTTTGACAGAGTAGTTACCTGCCATTCTGGGGTGGCTCTTTCTAGCTCTGAGCCTTCATCTGTCACGTGTCTGATTTCCCCACATGTGTTGGTTTGAGATACAGCCAAAGTGAAATCTCTTGATGTACCGTGAATGCTCTCTGTTCTTACCAGCACTTCCCTCTTCTTAGTTACCTATCGGTTGTCCCATCACTCGTGGAAATAACCTGTTCAGAGTGGCAAGGAGTGGGGAGGACATAGGCACTTACACCTCCTGTTGTATCCTGGAGGATGGCTGCGTTATGCCTTCTCTCTCTGATCTGATAGCAGTTAATGGGGTTACTTCTGTGTTCTATCTCCACCCCAAGGTGGGGTCATTGCTAGGTGGTACAAGGAGAGTCTGAAATATATTTCATACTAGTCCACTAAAGCAAAAGGTAGATGGGACATAGAATTAGTCTAGCAAACATTTTTTTTTTTTGAGAAAATTTGGTTGCCTCCATACCTTCTGTGTTAATGATTCAGGTGAAGGGTGACCAACTTATGCAACATGAATTATCTGACTAAGTGATTAAGATCTTTTTCTGTTTCTTACTTGATAGCTTAAATTTTTTTAAACTACACAAAAATTGGAAGAATGCAATGAACACCCAATGTATGCTGTTCATCGGAATTGACTGACTGTTAACAGTTTTCCACCTTTATTCTCTCCTTTTACATTCACACTTTCTGCACACAAATGTGCACACACATAATTTCCTTTTTTTGCTGGACTATTAAATTGTAAATTGCAGCCATCATGAGACTTGAGCATTTATCTTCTAAGACTAAGAACATTCTCCTACACAACCACCACACTATGATCATATCTGGGAGAATTAATAATCATGCCAAATAACATTTGATATGTAGTCCATTTTCAAATATGCCAGATCGCTCTGTCCACCTCCTCTCTCAAATGCCTCATCTCCTTTTTCTAAAATCCAGAATCCAGTTAAGGTTTTTATATTACATTTAGTTTCTCTCTCTCTCTCTCTCTCTCTCTCTCTCTCTCCTCTCTCTCTTTGTTAATCCCCACTGGAGGATTTTCCCACTGATTTTTTTTTTTGACAGAGTGGAAGGGAGGGATGGGGGGAGAGAGAGAGAGAGAGAGAGAGAAACATCAATGTGAGAGAGAGACATCGATTGGTTGCCTCCTTACCAGGGCCCAGAATGTACATGCTCTTGGCAGGGAATCTAACCCTTGACCCTTCAGTGTGTGGGCCAATGCTCTACTATTGAGCCACACTGGCCAGGGCTGTATTAATCTAGAACAGATCCTTGCCTCTTAATGTTTTTTTTCATGACATTAACTTTTAAAATCCTGGCCCAGTGATTTTGTTGAAGGTCCCACATTCTAGACTTGTCTGATTCTTTCTTCACGCCTGCCTGTTAAACTTTGGGGTGCAGATTAGGACAGTCTCTGTACTACCTGCTGTATCTTAGGAGGCACGCTGTCCTAGCATTGATGATTCTAAGTTTGATCAGTTGCTAACAGTGGTATCCACTCAGTGATGGTGAACCTTTTGAGCTCGGCGTGTCAGCATTTTGAAAAACCCTAACTTAACTCTAGTGCCGTGTCACATATAGAAATTTTTTGATATTTGCAACCATAGTAAAACGAAGACTTATATTTTTTATATTTATTTTATATATTTAAATGCCATTTAACAAAGAAAAATCAACCAAAAAATGATTTTGCGTGTCACCTCTGACACGCGTGTCATAGGTTCGCCATCACTGCACTAGGTATTTCCATCGTATGGGGCCGTTTTTGTTTTGTAATTAGTATATAGAATACTTTGAGAATGTGTGGATGTCTTCTTTCATAGCAACTTTTCACCCCATAGTTTCAGCATCCATGATAATCCTTTTCTGAATCAGTTATTACACTGGGGTTTGAAAAATGGTGATTTAAAAAAAATCCCGTCTTTATTGTTTGCCATTGTTTGGTAAAGAAAAGCTTTCTTACCTCCATTACCTTTTCTTTCTCTCTTCACTTTTTATATCAGTACAAATTCATGGATTTGTTTATTTTAGATGCAATGTATTATCTATTACTGTTATGCCCTCAGATGCTAAAATTGTCCCAGTGTGGTCGGTGGGTGTGCCTGCAGGCTGGCTCCTGTCCCCTTAGCCTTTGAGTGCTCCTTGCTTTCAGCTCTAGGCCCACCATGGATTTTTCCTTCCTGGGGCCTGGAAATTGCTATTTTCTCTAAGAAGCCCTGATTCTTTTTAAATCGGAGTGGTGCTTAGAAGCAAAAATGGAGTACTGGCTTATTGTCACTAGGGTGTTACTGCATCTCTTTCTTTTCAGTGGGAAGAGCTGGGAAATACACTTTAAAAAAGTCAAAAGTTCATAGTGACATTTCCTATTTAAACTTGGCATAATCGGATTTTTCTGTCTTTTATTTTCTATTTCTCTCTCTCAGTGAGCATTTTGGTTTGTAATTAATGTATTTATGGGCATTAATTTGTGTAATTGTAATACCTTCTAATGTACTTTGCCTTCTTTTCCATCCTCACCCCCATTCACTTCTTCTATTTCTTTTTACATGTATACCCTCAGAAAACATAGCCTTAAATTCATTAGATGTAACAATGTGACATGCATTTTACCTATAGAATATAACATCATAACATAACATAACATAACATAATAAAAATAACATATTTTTTTCAAAAGCTTATAACACAGCTGCAATGTCGGCTTTGTTTTCCTGGTTTCTCAGATAAGGTAGACGAGGTGCTCGGTAATCAGGCAGTTTTCTGCCAAAAGGTGTCCAGGCTTGTCTGGCTGCAAAGACCTTGACCTTTCCCATGTTCCCCGCGGCCTCTTCTCTCGTAATCTCACAACCCTCTTTAACCTGACATTTTCTTTCAGGTTTCGTGTTATCTTAAATCCCAGTGTTTCTCTGTGACAGAGAAAATCTCCGATGGCCTCAATTTGTTGCCCTCTGGCTAACTTTTTCTTTTCCCCCAGTTGCAAAAAACAGTAGTAAGAGTGAACACCTCAGTTTCCAAAGGGAAAACAAAACAACCACCCATAATCTTATCTTGACACAGATGTTTGGAACGTTTTACTATCTTCCATGATTTGTTAATGTGCATCGATATTTTTCATAATTTGAATCTGCATTAATTGTAATTCTCTTGTAATCTTTTAGACTGTATCAATTAATTTTTATATTTCTGTATGCTGTTCATATGAACAGTACTAAATAGCTTCAGCATTTTCTATCAAATTAATGTACACTGCTTTATGAAATTCTGCCCTTACAGAGTTATTTCAATTTCTAGCTTTCTGAAATAGATAATATTGGAGTGAATATTTCCCCCCCTTTTCATTTAACTATTTCCTTAGAAAGAAATTCGAAGAGAAAGATTCCTGGGTCTAAGGATAGAACTATTTTATAGCTCACCATATATATTATGGTAATTCTTTCCAAAGGGACTAAGCAAATTGAAGAACTTATCCAAGTTATTTAAGCTTCCTGAGCTAGTCGGGCCAGTGTTCGAGGCGTGGCCTGCCCAAGGCCCATTCAGATATTCACGTACCGTTTTCCCTAACCCTCACCCTGATCCTGACCCACAATGCCTCAGTGTTTACTTCACAGGTATGATCACACATCTGTTCTCGATGGAAAACTGCAGTGCCTTTCTTTCCCCTTCCTTTCCCTTTCTTTGGAAGCACAGCATTTGTCAGGTTCACAAGTTTCAAATCATCATCCCTAATCAACCACTGTTCCTTGAGTCATTGTGACCACAGAGATTGGAGTGATGTGGCCACAAGCCAGGGACACCTGGGGCTACCCGAAGCTCGAAGAGGCAAGAAAGGATTCTCCCCTGCAGCATCTCCCTTTGTGGGGAGGGTGGCCCTGCTGGCACCTTGATTTCAGACTTCTGCTCCCCAGAACTGTGACAGGATGAATCTCTGGTTTGTTAAGCCACCCCATTTGTGGCACTGTGTTGTAGCAACCCTAGGAAATGAATACTCTCACATAGCTATTTTCTCTGGGTGATTAGAAAGCCTGTGGTTGCAAAGAATTTATTGGGGACAGCGACCAACCAGCCCGATTCCCCCCAAACAGCTTTTTTCTCTAGCGGCGTGGTAGCTTTTGGCTAGATCTAGACATTTTCTAGGCAGAGACCCCTGCACACTGCGGCACAGCATCTCCATGAGAGCACAGCCCCCTCCTGAAGGCCTCA